GGGAAACATCCCCTTTCATTTGAACAGGTCAAAGGAGGGAAGAATACATATACAGCTGAGTGCAGAAATGCATTTCACTCAAGAGGGAACCTGGAGGAAAATGGAAGAGCAGAGAAGGGAGAATAAAAGATAGGAAAGATTTCAGGGACAGATTAGTTATAAGCAAAAGACAACTTTAACCACAGAGAGCAGATTGCAAAAAGGGGTTTAAAGGAAAGAAAGAAGGGTAAGAACCTGTGGTCGGGCTCTGGGAGAAGGAAAGAGAGGAAGGCTTGGGAGTAGAAGCAGAAAGTATGAAAACTAGAACACTGATGCTGAGAACACTCCTCTCTCACCACCTTCTTCTTTATAAAGCAAGGCAGGAAACAAAGAGGGAGAAGTATAAGAGAACAGGATGGAGGAAAATCCACAATGTCTATGTGTAACCATGAACGTGAATGGGATGAATTCACCTGTAAAACAAAAAAGGATAGTAGAACAGACTAGCAAGCAGAATCCAATCATATACTATTTATGAGAAATACACTTGACATATAAAGATTCACAGTAGAGTTCCAATAAGATTCTGGAACAAAATCAATTATTTGTCAGCTGAAGTTAAAAGAATAATCAAGGGTGGTGGTCACGATCTCAGACAAGGTAACAGCAAAAAATAAACTTGATTAAAAGAGATAAACAGGACTCATTCCTGTTCAACTCCTTCATTTTATAGAAGGTCCAAGAATTTTAATCATTTACCCAAGGTCGCACTGGTGGGAAGTATCAGGGCTGAGATTCAACTCAAGTCCTCTGACTCCAAAGCCACTACATTCTGCTATATCCAAACTGCAGAACATCAGAATTAGAAGTGTTCTTAGAATAAAAATGTCCAGTCTGGAGGGAATCTTAGAAAATAGAATGTCAGAACTAGAAGAAGTCAGAATATGCAATACCAGTGCTGGAAAGGGTTGTAGTATTAGATCATGTAGTCTAAGCAGTTCATTTTACAAATATGGAAACTGTGACCTAGAGAAATGGAAATGACTTGCCCAAGGTCATACATCAAGTTCGTAACAGAGCCACAACACAAAACTAGGCCTTTTGTCTTCCCATGTTCTCTCCATTACATGCCAATTGTCTTCCCAGGTCTTCTAATTTATTATTTGTACCATCTTCTACCAATAACTAACTAATTACTCACCAAGGCAAATCCCTTCTCTTCTATGGACCTGTTTCCCACTCATAATATGAGGATGTTGGATTAGACCAGAGATTCTTAATCTTTTCTGTGTCACGGACTCTTGGCAGGCTGACAGCTTATGGACCCCTTCTCAGAATGACTCACATGTATAAAATAAAATACATAAAATTACAAAAAAACCCAACTATACTGAAATAGCCATCAAAATATTTTTTTAAAAACAAGTTCATAGGTCCTAGGTTCAGAACTCCTAGATTAGATGGTCTCCCAGAGTCCTTCTAGAAAGAAAACTCAGAGTAATTTTTCCCATTCAGAGAGCCTTTAGGGTTCTACCACAGGCTCAGTCAAAAATCTGCCTTCCCATGGGTACTCAAAGCTAGAGAGATTCAAGCTTCTAAGACAGAGTCTGAGATCTCTCTCATTCCTGTGACACGTGGTCATCCCTCTTCCTTCCATTCCACGGCTAGTTGAGCCAGCCAGAATCTGTATCAGCTCAAGTGACCAGGCCCAGCTCGAGCCTTGGAATGGGTATGTGGCGCCCTCTGGTGTTCAATTTGATACCCCCCTTTTTTCAGCCTGACTGTAAACTGGAGAAATAATTGTCCTCTGGGTAGCCCAAGTGCTCAGCTATGCTCAGACCTTGTTTTCCTGGAGTCCGTAGGATTCTAGCGTAAGATCGTGAGATAGAGAGCTTTGAGCAAAGTGTTTTGGATTTGGATTTGGAGTCAGTGGACCTGGTCCTTCTGCCTCACCTGCATGACCTTGGGAGAGATGCTTAACCTTTCTCTAGACCTCAGTTTCCTCATATGTAAAATGAGGGGGTTGGACTTGCAGCTCTAAACATATGAGCCTATGGTCATCTAGTCGAAGGCCTTCATTTTACAGATGAGGAAACTGAGGCCCAAAGGGATTTGGTGTCTTTTTCAAAGTACTGAATGGAAAAGCTGGGATCAAATTCAGGTCTTCTGATGCCTAATCCAGGGTTCTTTCTGCTGTGCCAAGTTATTTTGTATGGAGAATATTTCTCACCTAAGCCCTCACTTTAAGGGATTTACAATCTGAACAGATCAAAGGCCTGCCCTCAGGGAGGTCATGATCTTTGGTGGGACACAGTTGTTATTATTGTTTGTCTTTGTTCTCAGAGAGGACCATGACATCAGGGAGGTGATGCCATGACATGCAAGTGAATCGATTTAAATGAGGGAGGACTGTGCAAAGTCACCAGCCTCACTTTCTCCTCTGGAGCCATATAGGTTCAGTGGCCAGATATAGATCAAGACAACTGGAGATGGCCCAGGATGCAGTGGGGGACCTTGGCCTTTTTAAGCTAAGATCTTTCCCAGATCTCAGTTTGACTGAAGCAACACCCATTCAGTGATTAAGGCTAGGTAAGAAACGAAGCAGAGAATGGCCTCTTTAGCTATTTAAAAAAAAATCAATCTCTGAGAGGAAGATCATCAGGGCTTCTGGACAAAACAGAAATAATTGCTATTCACACTTACTCTGAGCCAATCAGGGCCCAAACAATGACCAAGTGGGGCTTGGCCTGGGATCTACTGTTGGCCAATCAATGAGAGCCAGAGTGATTTGGGTTTGAGGTGGGATCCTTAAGGGAAAAAATGGTTTTAGCAATCAAAAATTTACATTCTTTTGGGCAGAACACCCACAGGTAAAAGTATGACACCTTATGTGGACAGAGAGAAGGGAAAGAAAGAAAGAAAGAAAGAAAGAAAGAAAGAAAGAAAGAAAGAAAGAAAGAAAGAAAGAAAGAAAGA